GCTGTAGTAAAAACGAAAACTATAATAAAATACAAATGTTAACAATTCAAATGTAGTCAAAAAGTTAACAATGTACAACTAAGAGGATCAATAGGAACAAAGTGCGAGTATATACATGGAGGGATTTTCACAAACACACAAAGCATTCAAAATGGATCTTACAATATGGATGAACTAACGATGAAAGCAGAAAAGCTGCCAGAGAAGGAAATATCAAACAATTATATGTTGTTTGAAACATTCAGGGAAATATATTGAACCTGAGAGTTCAGTCAAGGCGAACCATTCACTGGGATTCAAGGAATGAGGAACAGGTGGGTAGAACATCTCGAGGAACTCTTGAATATGGCAGCTTGATTGAACCCATAAGGTGTAAAAGAAGCACACACAGACCTTCCTATGGATATCACTTCACCAACAATCAAAGAAATTGTAGTGACCTACTTTTATCAAGAGAGCGCGATTGGTTTAATGGAAACAATTATTATTATAACCAAATGTACCAGTGATTGTTTCACTGTACTTGCTTGTTTATCTGCACTAAAGACATTATTCCCTCCTTTGATTGTGACCTTGCACGGGTTCGGTTACGCTCGGTAACCACGCTTGTACTCCTTTGGCACGATCTCGGTATCCTTTCGATACCATGAGATCGCCAACAAAAACGAAGCCATCAACTGCCTTCTGATATTTGGCTTACGGGGATTTTATCGGTTTATTGGCAAGTCGTCTTCCTGTAGAGGTGTTCATAGGCAACCGCGACTCGACTCCACGCTACAAAATCAGGATGGCCGATCATCAGACAAATCAAGTGTGAGAAAGTAGTAGGAACTGAGAACATACCACCTGAAGCACTGAAATCAGATATAAAAGTAACTGCAATCATGTCCCACGTTCTATTCAGTAAGATTTGCGAGGAGGAACACGTTCTACAGACAGATTAGGAAGAAGGATACCTTGTAGTGGGACTGGACCCTAACTACACAATCCTCAAAGCTCAATATGGGATAGTTGGGGAAATAGATATTTGACATTTCACGCGGAGTAAAACCCAACGATGAAGAAGGCGGGAACAATGAGTTGAACTAATTCGAATTGGTCGAACTACATGGTTTGGCCTTGCAGACGTGGTCCCTGTTAAATGTTACCGTGAGTCTTTTACTCATATCGAAATATATTGTCCTATCTTCAGTCCGAATGTGTTCTCCATCACACAATGGTAATTGTTACGATACGTAGAGTCAGTGTAGACAATGATGTAACTTCCACGTAAGATCTTATTGATGAGGCAATTACATCATGACAAATCTACAATTTTAGGATTACGTCTATTATTAGGGCATTACTAATATCATAATAAACCATAATTCTACAACCTCATACTACATCTTCTGCCCGAGCATCAATGTAGGCAAATCTCGGAGATGTGAAAATACCACCGTCCATAAGAAGGTACTACTCATAAAACTACAATTCATAAATGACACCATTGAAGAAATCTTGGCTCAGAAACTAAGAAGAGCCGTACAAAAAAACATTTAGTGCTGCCAGATTAAATGCAATCTTCTACAACTATCCCAAGATAAGAACAGCCAACAAAGACAGACTGCCTGAATTCGCAAAATCTATGTGTATCTATCGTTTCAACTGCTCCTGTGGAGCCAGTTATATTGTGCGTACAATTCGGCAAGTCCGTCATCGCATTACTGAACATCATCCGCCGTGGTTAAACAAAGGACAGGTAAAAGTGATTAAAAGTTCTATTCTCTCTCACTTGGTTGACACACGTCATCAAGTCGAATTGAATAAAGCTTTTAAGGTTATCTACAATATCCCATCTAATTTGCCACATGGTTTACGAGTGCGCCTATTGCACATTGCGGAAGCCATCGCAATTCTATATTGTACCAAAATATAATATTGAATAAAGCCACTAATAATAATAATCCATGTTCACAAACCTGAACTTTGCATGCAAAAGAAATTCGTACAACTACTTTCTCTGCCCTGGCCATCAGTTTAAGATTTCCTTCAAAAGAACTATTTTTCATACTTCTACCACTTGTTTTTTTAACTTTTGTAATTTTGTTTCTGTTGCTTTTGAGCCTTATAACTTCTCAACATTCATCTCTTGATTCTTACGTAACTACCATCCTATTGACCATCCGTTAAAATTCTGTTCCTTCTTTGTTTCTTACATTACGCAACTTCTTGATCACTTTGAATATTAATAATCCTCTTTCTTCCAATTACTCAATGTTAATTTAAATGTCATTATGTAATTATTACGTAACGTATCCACTCGATGAGTATTATATTATTATTGTAAAACGTATATATATTAGTGTAGAGCCATGATGAAAAACTAATTGAAAAGAAATTGCTTCGCTCAATTCGTTACTTCTATTTTTTACTTATCAAATGATCCGTTATTTCATTATAACTGCTTTCACTGGTTGATAAAGTTGTATTTGAACCGTTCTTAAGCTCCACTTGCAAATACTTGACATGTTGTAATTGAAGATTTATACTCTATGACAAGCAAATTACAACATCCAAAGAATGGAGTTAGTGACCAGTAATGCTTGGAATAGAAACTTCACTAGGTCAACAATAACCAATCAACATCGAGCACTACAAGACAAGCTGTGAGCCATATATGGAGAAATTAAAACATTTCACTCCTCTCTGAAGTTTGTGCTGATGTCTTTCAGAAGAGCAATGAGATCACTACGACCAAACCACCCAACTCAGAAAACAAAACCCTATCCAAAACGTATTAGTCTATTTTATTACTAGAATAATCACTTTTCCCTTGTAATTTCTAGTTGGTTGTTAGCAGTTAAAAATAGGGATAGTATGTGATAATTAGAACCACCTAATTTGATACGATCAGAATCATAGTTTATTATCACTAGTAGTTCTGTTTGATGTGTTTACTAGGAATCTTGAGAAGTCCGTTTTAAGTTAAATAAAATTCCATCAACACAACTGAACGTGACCTACTCAGACTTTATAGTGAGCGCCCCACCCCATTTTTCTTCATACCTTCGACTACATTTATCAATACACATGTACGTCCCCTAGAATAATTATTCGAAAGGGAAGTGTGATTTCGCCTTTCCCAGAACGTTCAAGATAACTTGCGACTGTTTTCTAACTCTTCCTTAATCTCAAACATGTCCACTCATATACATATGTAGTGAGATTGGTTCCGAATCACACAATTCTCGAAGCTGAACACATAATTACTGAGAAGATTGACATCCAACACGCAATACCTGGAGGAGGTCAGTAATGTTTGAACGTTGGAAGATTCAATGCAGATGGCAAGGCCATGCAGGCATGGTCATTCTGTGTAACCTATTGTATTTCGCATTACATATACTTTCTAGAGAGCCATAATGTGTTCTTCAAGAATATCAAACGTTATGCAGCTGTTTCTTACGACTCGACGAGTCAGAATAGACAATGATGCGAATTCCACGTAATATCTAATAGATCAGGCTTTCATATTATAACAAACTTTGGGCTTATGTCTATTATTATACTAGTACTAATATAGAAGTAGACCATAATTCTACACATATCCACACACAAGTATCACTAACAATTGTTATTATTCAGATGCTCTCTGTTACCAATGCCTTGTAATTTATTATACGGACATGAGTTTGTATTTTTTTTATAAATTTCGCCGACTACAAGATATAATACCAAACGTTATTTAACGTCGTCAAGGGATAATAGTGTGATATATAATCTCTCACACACCAATCCATTTTTTTTTCGGATTTACATTACTAAACTTGAGTAGACATTAAGCAGAGTTGAGTAAGTCAACAGCAAATAACACCACAACGGACGTCCCCTTCACATGCATGAACATCAGTTAGCAGTCAAACGCCATGATAGTTCCTCACTTATATCAATATACGTGGACAACTGCAGACACTCAATTGATTAGAAAAATGTGGAAATCTTGGATAGAGGAAATTCCAAAAACACCATAGAATTTTTAGAAGCCTGGCACTCAAGTCAATCAGCGATTAACAAGCATAGTGAAATTGATCCAATTTATCAACTAATCACGAAATTAGGCACAAACATAGGAATAAAAATCAAACCAATGAGATACATAACCAAAACAAATTTAAGGTCAACAAGAACCAATCAACATCAAGGTCCACAGGACAAGCTGTGAAACGCATATGGAGAAATTCGAACGTTTCACTTCCATCTGAAGTTTGTGCTGATGTCGTTTAGAAGAATAATGAAAGCTCCACGGCCAAACCATCCAGCTCAGAGAACAAAACTTCATCAAAATCATCCACCTTAGCTACAAATCTCAAGTCTGTATATATTATGTAACGAAAACGTAAACATACACATATAACCCGACTAACAACTTAACGAATAGAAATTCCATACATATGGAATAAAAAATAATGATTTTCTATCAAGATACAAAAGCGTGATACAGTCGGTTAGAGACGTTGAATGACATGGCTCAAATCGTTTGCAGTGAAGCAGGTACGTCCATTCTTTGTGTTCTCCAAAATTTTAATCTTCTGAATTCTTTATACCCCTTTCTTTACTCTTTCCAAATTTATTTCTCTGGATTATACTCCTTGAATAACATCTTCAAACCCTAATGTTCCCGATTACTGCTTATACTTTTACAACCTCTACTACTACAGGATTGGAACCGCCAACTGTATCTCTGTGTTAATGTGGTATGACAACTCGAACTGATGTACGTACGTACGGAGTTCTACGTTGTTGACTGACTGACTGAATTGGAACAAATACTTATCTATTAGTTACATAATAATTGTCAACAAATTGAAAGAACAATAAGCCTTCACAAAAAGTGATATAATATTTTTATATATATATTTCTTATCCTAGACAAAAGTATTCAAGGAATATAACGAAGACACATAAAATAGAAGTAAATAAAGCAGTTAAATTTTATCATAAAGCAAAAAATACATCAACTATAAACATTTTACATTCTCTACACAGGCCTGCACACATAACAGAGTAATAACCTAACCAACAAAAAAAAGAGAAAGAAGCAAGAATACATAGTTTAAACGTTTTTGTAGATAACATTTGAAAAAAAGGATTTTCATAATGCTACGGTATTTAGAAATAAAAACGGTATGGAAATCAGTACATCAGAAGCTTCAGGCGTCATCAAGGTTGACAAGAGTAATATATTGTTTATTTATTTGAATACATAAATATTGGATGGATTGTGGAAAGAGGTTTTTCGTCACCTTTACATCTTATAAACCTTTAATTAGTAATATTTAGCATAAAAACTGAGACATGTGCCCGACGGTTGTTGATACCTTGAAGTGGTGGTCGAGCTTGCCTATTATGATCAACCAATCAAGCTATAATGGCTGGAACAATAGTTTCTCAAGGTCCTACCATACCATACAGGTCGGTTGAAGAGCAGTAAGACTAAAAGCAACAAACCCAAGGTCCGAAGTCGTACTGCTGACTGTACAGAGGTGTGAAGGCAGTAAGGTGTTTCCCCCAGACAACCAGCATAACAGCGGTGCTGCCTTCCCACAAAAAAGGGTGTGGTTAGAATAGGTCGACCCTAAAAATGCACACCTCACCTTATCCCATGGATTTCCGTCTCCGGTGGCAAGGTCTTAACAGGTACGGAGCTAACACAAAAATTGCCCGTAAAAAGGTCGTGTGTGACCGACCTCAAGCAGTTGCTCCTTGGGCACTGCGGTCACGCTGTCAGGTCACTAAGACCACCTCTAATCCAATTTTCTTTTCAGGTAGCTCCAGAAGAACCTTTCCACGGTGTGGGCAGCCGGGAAATGATAACCGCCCTCATACTTCTAACAACACTCAAGACTGACTGACATGTGCCTCGGTTCAAGTTGCCAACACCAAAACAATCAAGTGAAATGGTTCAGGAAGATCTAAATGCAGTACAGATAATAACAGTATTGGTTGTAATAAGAAAGACTAGGTATGGGCAATATGATTCGAGAAAAGAGATGAATTAGTGGAATGAAAATAATTGATAAGATCATTTAGAGTCTTAAGGTTAAAGAGAAAACCAAGAGTGAACGCCTATCTACTATTGTTAACAGTTCTGAGCCATTTTATCAAATCTGTAACCATTGTTTGAGAAAAACGCACAAACAAATTAAGTAGTCTGCACCTATCTACATAGTTGAATTGAACTGACAATGGGTTCATGGATTAATTCCACATTTCGGTTTGGTCGCCCTTAGCCTTTTTCTAACCATTTATTTTTCAAGTGCTCACTACTTGATATGAAACGAAAACTAAGGGTCGTTTGGTGTTATGCAGTCAGTGCTGTTGGTCAGATAAAACAAACACTTTAAGAAGAAAAGTACAATGATTATTTGGAAGAAATCAACTGTGGTATCGAACTCGATCGATTCCTTTGTAATCAATTTTGAGAAGAAATGTGATTGGACTTGACAATTGATGTAATAGAACTGAATAATATATGAAATCCATACAAACCATTATATAAAATTATATTAATGGTGTTGATAGATATTATTAACTTGTGGATATTCATACTTTCTTTCGGTATACGATTTTACTTACCTTACCAATGAATGATTTTTCATTGTTATATTTAGGAGTGCGATAATCGGAACCACTATATAATACTGTTTGAGCTACGTATAACACAAGCGAGATGTCTATCTACAAAGCAAATAAAGAGTACACAAAGTATCGTTTGATGTGTTTTGTCACATAGTTGTGAGAATTGTCACTAAGATAAAAGACCAGAGCTAATTATCTTCAATAAGAAAAGCATTAGGCGTACGTACAGACGGAGAATTGGTTGGTGAGACTGAGAATGCTAATCTCAATTAGTGACTAGAATGGAAGTTATACATGTAGAACTACTGTTTAATTCAACGTGGAATGCTGGCTACCATAAGACCGAGTTAAGAGGAAGGTAATACACTAGGATACAACCACAGCCTTTGAATTCATTAAATTTTGAACTGACCTGTAAGAGGTGCAGATTTATTTTCTTTTGGCTCTGTGTACTAATAAAGATCAATGGTTAAAGACGTTAAATGATATTGCTCAAAAACAGTTCAGTTAGGTAGATGCATCCATTTTTTATCTTCCGATAGATTGTAAGTTTTAGAATCATTTCGTACTTTTCAAAACACACTACATTCCTTACTATCGTTTAAACAGTTTACTATGGTATTTCGCCGTTCTCATAATTATAGACACTACAGCTAATTCGCTATGCAATACATTAATATCATCTCATTGTCCATCTTATAATTTATTTATTGAACACAATTGTACGTACTCAGGGTTTAAGCCACACTGTTTATTTGAAGCTTGGTGGTATCACATGGCTTTCCAAACCAAAGTTTGGTTTCAGTCTGAGATATAGTAGTTAAAAGTAGTGATTGGATGACCGCTGTGATGTAATGTAGAAGTTTACATCAGTGAACAATTGTACCAGTTTCAATGATATTTCGATTAAACGGATACATGGTAAATAGTTAAATATTTTGACTAGTGAAGATTTATATTTATATATAAATAAAGTTACAGTACAAGTGAATTACTAAACTTACATGTAACCCTAAGGAATTTCAATATGGTTATTAACAGGTATATTGGAACACAGGGGGTTAATATCATTGCCAGATGTATTCAATACGCATAAAGGATTATTAATTACACTTGCAGCGTCTGTATCTCGTTCAATACCTACATATTTGAGTTGTTCTGTAGGACCATAACGGTAGTCAAAGAATAACTCCTCACCGGGGAGAATTGCACGTTTTGCAAAAATACCAATTCGATGATCACCGTTCACCATGATAACCTATATAAAGTAAAGTATATGATAGTACAAGTTCAAAAAGATAAGTTAGGTGTCTTAAATTTCGAAAACAAGTAAATTAGAATCTGAAGCACTACTTTATGACAGGAACTTGAACGTAATGTTGACTACGTAAACAATCATACCATTTCATAAGTTATTTAGATAATTAATTTTAACATTTAGAAAACGTAGAAAGGATTGAAAAGATGACAAAACAACTTTCAAAACATGAAACATTAGTGAAGTTTTCCGGTAAAAAAAATGAAAATGATTGAACCCTTTACGTTAAGAACTGATTCTCTTTAATCAATTCGAATGTCTTCATTGATTATTTATGTGAAGAAAAGAAACAAAACTAATGACAAGTGTAAAACCAACTAAAAACAATAACCACATCAGGGTATGTAGACGGTGTGACATGAAGGAGAATATACCTTACTGTAGTTACTACCTTAAGGTGGTGGTTAGGATTGTCTATCGTGATGACTCAATTGAGCTATATTAGCTGAAACACATTCCTTTAGGTCCTATCATAACAGGCAGGTCCGATTGGAGAGCGGTGGGACTAAGAGTAGCAACTTCAGACCTGAAAGCGAAGTCGTACAGTTGACTGTAGAGGGATATGACAGAACTAAGGTTCTTCTCTCGAATAACCAGAATCTGCAGCGATGCTGCTTTCTCACAAAGGAAGGAGGGGGTTTAGAAAAGTCAGCCTCGAAAATGTCACACCTCACCTTACCTCGTGAATTTCCATATCCGGAGGTAAAGCCTTTCGAAGCATGTAGCTAACACACCAAAAAATCTCCCATAGAGGCCGTAAGTGACCGGCATCAAACAGTTGTCACTTCGACTTTGCGGTCACGCTCTCACGTCATCAAGATCACCACTGATCCAGATTCTTTCTTCAGATCCCTCGAAAAGAAATATCGTACGACGGTATGGACGATCGGAAGTGATAACCAACCTCATACCTCTAACAGCACCAGATATCATTTTATTATCGTTATCAATGACTTGATACAATATGGAACTGCCAGTCTGACGGAATCTCGTAACGGATTCAGAAGGCTTGGTTGGTTATTGCCAACGTGAGTCACTTGTGTTGTGGGCGACAAATCCATCTTTCAAACGACGGCGGGTTTACTGTGCAGAAATTCGCTCTGTTTTATTTTATGGATGTGAAACATGGTCATTAAGAATAGAAGTTAATGGTAAGCTGATAGAATCCGATCATAGGTGTCTATAAAGCATTGCTGGTGTATTTTGGGATTACGGAGAAAGTAATGGGTGGGTTAGGAATAGAGTACTAGGTAAAGATGGGGTATCGATTGATGAGGTGGTAAATCTTCAGCAACTGAGGTGATTGGGCCGTGTTGCGTATCCCCAACCACCGCCTATGTCGACGGACGACGTGTGGCAGTAGGCTTCAAGAAAGCTAGAGACGGGCCAACCAACACGTGGCACCAGTTCATAAAGACACTGACGATTGGACTTATCCATGTTAATAGGTATATACTACCTGGTCGAGTGCGCGTTGTTAGTTTAACCAATGGTTATAGACTTTGAATGACATGGCTCCAAATCATCAACAATGGCTCAGTTGCATCCATTCTTCGTCTTCCCTCAAATTTTGAGCTTTTGAATTCCTCGTCGTTTTATATTTTTATTTTGCAAATTTATACTTTATTTTCGAGTCATATCGTCGATGCCTAGTCTTTTCTATTACCACTGATACTGTTATTACCTCCACTATTCTGGGATATAACGTGACAATATAATCTCTGTGCCATTAGGGTATTGTAACTTGAGCTGATGTACACACGTATCACGTTCTACGTTGTGACAGATTAACTGAAGGAGAATAGGAGACAATAATTAATGTTTATAGTGTGAAGTAGTCTTTTTTTGAGCTGAATGGTTTAACTGAGAAGCTTTTAATGTTTTTCTGGACATCGTCTCTATCAGCAGTACTGTGATATGTGCTATGTGTACGGACAGATATAAGTAGTATGCACCATAAATTCGAAAGGATTCTTACTGACAGAAGAAGAATACGAAGAGAGAAAAACAATGCAGTTGCACTAGCAACAGGAATAGAAGAACGACAGAGTTTGTGAGAGCCAATTCAATGAAGATGCACAGACAGTTCAATTTATTGTTTTCATATTTTAAAAATGTAGTGTGTGATTTCGCATAATAGAATAAGTAGGTTTACCCTACCCGAATATTCGTTCATTACATTACTACACATAATAAACAAAGAAAACAGACATAGGACTCCATAAAATAAGAAAGCGGCAATTTACCTTGGCATGACAATTAGGATTAACTGAATGATTTGCAAATCGAATTTTATTGCCTTTACGTGTAGCATCCACAACAAAATCTCGATTAAGGTTGAACAGGAAACTGCTCATTGTTTTATCATATATTTTACCTGAAAGTTTAATACGAATATATATACCTATTCACGTTTTAACTTAAAACTCTAATTCACCTAGATGACAACCATAAAAAATTCCAATCTTTTAAATCAGACCGCATCTTCTAAATTCTATTCTTGGAAGCTAGTGATTAATAGCCCACCTCTTTAGCTAACCTTTCATATTAGATTTCCCACAAAACGACAATCAGAAGAACTTAATAATGATAGTTTAGGAAACATTCATTTAAGTACTGGATATTCAATTACGGTAACCATTTTGGATACCTTCAAGATTTGATGAGCACAGGAAAAACAGAATTCCAAAAACATTTGATGAGATTTAGTGAACTGTGATAACTGACAAAGTCCAATGATATCGGTGGCTAGACATATGTCATTAATGAAACATGATGACATCATTTATTGACTATTGTTAAAAGTATGAGGTACTAGATTTCGACAGATTGCCAAAAGTAGTGAACGAATTTCCAAAACCATAATGAATTCGATCATATAAACAGTACAAAATCGCGTACTAGTGAATGCTAGTTTTTATTTAAACACGTAAACATTGGTACAAGTGGGTACCAAACAGATATGCACCACACAAATCATTCGATTTTTGTGAGGGCTGGGATACTGTTCGGGCACCCATAGTGAAGTAGTAGTTTTCTTAGGGAACCACACCTGGAGCTTTTGACCTAAAGGTCTGATCCGCAAGGCGGTGGAGCAACATAAGGAAATGCAGTCTAATGGTAGCCGGTGACAACGATTGGTTTATACGCCATTTGTTCCTTCACCACTGGTTTGGAATCAGGGTTTCCCAACTCCCCTTGTGAACTCCGTGTCCACCAACCCGGTTAAAAAGCTGCATAAATCAGCGATTTGAGGTCCTCCTTAATTTCTAATAATTTTTTCTACTATTGTCATAATTAATGACAAAATGACCTGTAAACTGAACTAAAACCATCAAAATTTGCTTAACTTAAGATTTACAATCTAGAAATTAAACAGATAGATTATAATGAGCAAATAAAATTGAGCCTATTTACCTCGTCGATCTGCTTCATCTTGACTAATTATCTCGCCACAATATTCGTATATGAAATCATTTTTCTCCGCAGCTTCTTTAATAAATATACCCCAACTAGAACAATAAAAAAATAAAAACAGGTATTTTCAAAGATGGTTGTAAGCAACCATCATCATGCATATAGAAAAAACGCATAAAGCACTGGAAAAAACACACACTGAACTTACCCAGCCACATCAGAAGGTGCCATTAAAAGATGTTTACGCCAACCTCTTTGAATGGCAACATTTCGACAAGTACCAGTAACAGGAGGTAAAGTAGTTTGAAGTAGTGAAAGTAAATCCATAGAATTTCCAGAGGCAAAAGATCGAAAAGATGAATGTGCACCACAAGATAAACACAAATCCGGATCACATTCTCTGACAGCTAGAACGCATGGACATAATTTTGTGTTACATTGACCTCGACAACGACATCCCAAAAATCTGAAGAGACAAGAACAGGAACCTTTTTCGACTATAAATAAATTGATTTGATGTATTTGATACAAAAGTGAATCGTTTTCTTTATATACAAAATTATGGTATACAATAAGTGAATAATTTGCAAAGATGGATGGTGGCTAAAAGTGGAATTAAGGCTATATCGAGGCACAGTATGATCAATTGCAGTCCTAAACATCAATGGGAGGATTCAAACAAACATTATCAAGTGAATAGTTGTAGAAGATTGCCAGAAAAATCTGTAAGCAAGATTTTTCTTCATTACCAGAATTATGACGTATTTGTAAATTAATAGGGAAAATTGCTGTTCAACTTTAGTTAGCAGGATAGACTTGATTACATACGTGTTCCAGACAAGATCATGTTGGAGTGCGTTGACTGATCCATTTTAAACCAATCAGCGTTGGGGATGAACTTTGAGGACTAAAGTTCCTGTGTAAAATTTATATGTACATTGATATTTTCCTACTCTATTGACGACTTAACTTGACACTTTGGAGAGACTGTAATTTATGAATGAGCCAATCAGATATAACATGACAGGTCTTGGATTTTGGTGTGAAATTTATTCATCCATTTGGCCAAATAGCGTTTTGCCAATTTAGCTTATTGTCAGTTCGTGACGAAAATCTTAAATTTAATTTCAAACCTTAACCATCGACTATTTGGAGACTAAAGGCCAAATTAGTCAGTTCCATGATCATAAAATTAATAACCATAAACTTGATCAAATCTACCTTAGAATGCAAAAACCACACTATGAGAGGACTAGTTTAGTGTAACAAATAAATCTGTATTACGAATCTTCTTAACTGACTGAAATAAGACATTTTTAACTATATACCTATTTGGACAATCAGGAGGACATTGACAAAACTTTTCACAAAATGTTCCAGCTATTCGACAAGAACAGGAATCATCACATCGTTGACCAGGATGATCACATGGATGATAATGATGAGCGAAGCATCCACTTGCGACTACACCATTAGCATTACCATTTGTAGCATTTTGATGACATCCATTTGTTTGTGAATCTTCATCGTCATCTATGGAAAAAGACGAAAATGTGTAAAACATGTAGAGATATATATACAAGGAAAACAGAAATTCCATTGAAATCATTTATTAGAAATAAATTAATTAGGTTGAAAGGGTTCTGTGTAGATTGATTTAATTTGTCGCAGACTGGTCTTCGTTTTTGTACCATTAAAAATCAAGAAAAACTGGATAGCTATTCTGCACCATTCTAAACTCGTAAGTAATACGACCGAACCTAAGGTGCTTAGTTCTCGTGGTGAACGCTCAATCATGTTTAAGTAAGATCTATTTGTGATGTATACAACCATATTATTTGTGATATGAAGTTGCGATAATTTAATCAATGTGAATAGTCGAACAAAACATACCCAAACGACGAGTTGGTGGTCCTAATAACATGCTCTTTTTTAGACGACGTTTCCTTGAACGTTTTCGTCTATATGATGGTAGTAAATTATAGCCCGATGATTCATTATTATTCACAGCTTCTTCGTTGAATTCACCATTATCTTGAACACTTCCACTGCATGATCCAGATCCAGCACAATCTCCACCATCATTTAATGATGCGGTACTAGTTGAACGTCTACCCCATTCAATACCGGTTCCAGGAACACGTAGTTGACTTAATTGTCCAGAATCGGGAAGTAGAAGAGTTGAATGGTTCTGTGTATTTGCATAGCTAAGCACCTAAATAACAAACAAATGAATAATACTTAAGTAATTCAATCTTTCGTTTAATTATTTCCACGTTATCACTTTCCAATTAACCTAACTGAATACAGTATAAAACGCTAACCAATAAAGATCAATTAGGTGGTGGTCACAATAGATCATTTGACTATTGCTATAGTCAGTTATTAAATTCTTTCAGTCAGTCAGTCAGATACAACGTAGGACCAGGCACATATATGCATCGGTCCAGGTTGCCATACCGCATCAGCACAACAAGATGAACACCGGATTCATAGCAGTGGTTAGGTCAAAGGTGGTAATATATAAGAGAAAGATTGCATATAGATATATAGTACAAGAAGGAAAAATTGGTTCGTAGAAAGAAAGATATGAAGCGATTTTAATATTTTAAAGGAAGACAGGGAGTGTATACACCGACGCCATTGTGATCGATTCTGAGCCATGTCACCAAGAGTCTCCAACCATTGGTTACGATAGTCACGGGGACCCCAACCAAGTAGTCTGCATCTACCAACATGGCTCAGACTAGAAGTTAGTGACTTCAAGTGCTGATGCTACGTTTTGGTTTGGCCGCCCCTGACTTTCTTCCAACAATCTCCAATACCGGATAGCATTGCACGTTGTGGTAATCGGTATTCAGGCATACGTAACACGTGGCCCAACCATCTCAGTCGATGAAGATTCACAACCTCATCGACTGATTTACCATCCTTCCCTAATACCTTAAGTCCAGCCTCACTATTACTTACCCGGTGATCCCAGCAGACCCCAGAAATATTTCTAAGACATCTGTGGTCAAATACTAGTAGCTTACGAGTGTCTTCTACTCTTAACGGCCATGTTTCGCTGCCGTAAAGTAAAACAGAACGGACTGCCGCGCAGTATACTCGTCCTTTTATTGATAGACGGATATCTCGCCTTCGCCACAGGTGACGTAAGTTGGCAAAAGCCAAACGAGCTTTACGAATCCGTGCTGAGATTTCGTCAGACACCAACCCATTAGGGCTGATCAGACTTCCAAGATAAGTGAAGTTGTCAACGCGTTCGACTACTTCACTCCCTATCCTTAGTTCTTTAGAGAGCTAATGTTAAAACTTAAGATTTCTTCCTACTAAAAATTAGTTTTCTATTTGAAATTTAATAGAGTAAAACAACAAAATGAATTTAGGAATTGTTGCTAGGTGCTGACAGACTAATCCTTTCGATTACTGCCTATACTTTTACTACCTCTACCACTATAGGATTTGACAATTGTATCACTGTGTAAATATAGTACGGTGACTTGAACTGATGTACGTACATACGAAGTTCTACGTTGTTGCTGACTGACTGATCATTTAATTAAGAAAATATACTGAAAGATAAAAGAGTAATGCGTAATCATGATCAATGATTGTGGATAGATGAAACGATGAAAGTTACCAATGATATGGGAAAGATAAAGTGAGCGATGACATGAGATCAATCAATGACTGGAAATGAAATAAGTCAAGTTGAGTATTATTGTACTATGTTCAAAGAATTTATACAGATTTTAAGAACTGGATAAGTGGTAAATTTCATCTTGAACGAATAGGCATATTTAGTTGACCTATTTATTGAGAACAAATCTAAAGTTAATTAGATTTCTATAGTATAATGTACCTAGCATATTAGTACTACAGTTAAATCAATAAGACATAAACAACTACATGTATCCAGTTTACATCCACATAGATTTTGATGTTGGTGTTAGTAACATTGAATCTAGTTGGTCAGATTAAATTGGATGGAATATTTGGTATAAATCTGACTCATTTATTCTCATATTGGTAATTTTATTTCACTGTACTAATGCATTTTGGGAGGTTGGGCCAACGTATATTTATCCCAGGCTTTATGTTGATTATGAATGCTTGATTCAAAGCTTTAAAGTTGGATTCGGAAGTCAATAAATAAATTGTCTCATTCATTACAATATTACGTATACGACATTTATCCTGACTTAAATATGTAACAATGATACGTATTTAAAGACCGAAAGAGTAAAATAGATGGATAGTTTTTTTTCTAGCCTCAACCATGAATATGAATTTTAGCATTTCTTTCATTTCTATTCAGAAAACGGAATATTCGACCAAGTCATTTAAATACTTCGTCAACTATTTGCTTCTAGCTTTTTCATAACAGCTATCACTGTTTAGTGTACTTTAGCTACTGACAAGTGTTTCCGTTTATGTAATCCGACAGCTTCAGTGATTATTTATATCTTGCCATATTTAAATTGTCCCAACAATATTCAAATAACCATTATGATCAACCAGAAGGGAAACTTAAACTGTCATTATTATACTGCCCTCAAATGCCCTGGTATGGCCGAGAGTGGGGTGGGTTCACCGTCCCTCTTGAAATGTTCTCACACGGCCACGCGTATACAGCCTTTTCCAGGGAAGTTCTATTCACTGCCTTTTCGTGGCAGGGGTGTTGTTTACGAAAATGAGAGGACCAAAAGCGAATGTCCGGCGCTTTAACCGGATCCAAAACTAATGGTGCACATGGGCTCCAGTATCCTGCGGGAACAAATGGAGTATGAACCAGTTTTCGGTCACCGGCTACCATAGGACTGCATGTCCTCACGATGCCCCACTGCCTTGTGGATCAGACCTTTAGGTCAAAGCTCGGGATGTGGCCCCCTAAGAAAACCACCTGCCTCGGTTTGGGCACCCGGGCAGTATCACAGGCCACACACACAAATATGGTGTGGTGCATATATATTTGGTGCCCTCTTGTACCAATATTTATGTGTTGAAATAATAATAAATCATTATTATACTTACCTCTGAACACTTTTTAGTTCCAATAAGATTAGATAATGTACAACACCAATTGTATAAATGATATGAAGAATAACCGTATGGTACATACATTGGAGCTAAAACTTGATAAAGGCTTATTTCAACCGGGTTCCAATCACAGTCTCTCTCATTTATTCGATTATTATTATGATGATGATTGTTTTGCTTATCAGTGAATTGACGAACACACCATACACCACAATATGGAGCATCTGATTCTGTAAATAGATTTTTTTTAAAGACAAAAAGTAATTTAATTTATCTGGTGTTCAAGTGAATGTTTTTAACTTTGAATCGAATTATTTACATCACGGTTAGTGATAATAACTAGCTCAATATTAGCTGAAACGAAGTAGATGGAGGGGAGGTAAAATTAAACTTAGAACTCGAAAATTTGGCAAAACTCGGCTGAAAAATCTTTTTTTTCTTTTTTTGAAATTCTCAAACAACTGTGCTTAATAAATTTGAACCTGACATTGAGAAATTTGCATCTCTACTAGTTGATTCTTGAACACACTGTTGAGGAGATCAGATCCACAGAACTCAGTAAATAACTTCTTTTTATAATTTTATTTAATTTTTTGAATTTCTTGTTTTCGCGCCGAAAGCGCTCATTTTCATCTTCATGTCGTATTCCCACTTGAGAGAACCTTAAACGCTATTGGTTTGTCGTATCTTTTAGTATGCTATTTTGTAACGCTTCCCAAGGACAATTTTATGCTGTATATATATATACGTTTGATTTGTACCTGTTGTTATTGGTCGTGTTTCTGGTTGCTTGCAGAATATAACTCCCCATTTCGAACTCGAACTTCTCTTTCTAGTTAGAGGGGCCGGGACGCGTCAGAATGGCTAGCTTATTGGTCATTGATCACTGGGTCTTTGTTCCGTTCGCAGACCAGGTGAACTCGTAAGCGCATATAAGTGAACTGGTTCAAGTTGCCACACTAAATCAGTATAGTGAGATGAAATTATTGAGATAAATACCAGGGTAGTAGAAGTGTTAACAATATAAGCGGTAACAGGAAAGATTATACATAGACAATATAATTCTAGAAAAGATAACGAATTCACGGAATTATTTAAAGTCTCACAATATAAGACAGGACGAAGAATGGATGTAAAGCGAGAGAAAGCAGCTTGTATTCAACTTCGACCTCAGCCAACATTGAACATCGAGGTAGGCTATAGTAAGGCAAACATAACACATTTCAAACCGTCCAAGTTGATAAATACTCATTACTACATCAACTGATTTACCATATTTGTATAGTACGTATCTAAACTCAACAATGCTTACTCAGTCATCCTACGATATATAAGCAATTCTTCGATCATACTTAAAGACAAGAATCTGTAGCCTACACATCTCTTTTATTCTTATAAACTATGTTTTATTACTATGTAGTGATAAAAGTGGGCTGTTGCTCATCGTACTCGCCCCTACATTGGTAAGGTGATTCGGCAAAATTTAAGAGCTTTCTGAATACGTACCGAGATTTCCCCACATACCAGTTGGCATCAGTGATGCGAGGGCTTACGACTCTACTCACCTGCACAAACTAACGTAACTAAAGTGAGGTTTGATTTACTGACCTACCAATCAAAAATAATCAGTTGAAAGAATCTTATGATTAACTAACCCACATTAGTTGATGCAACAAATGGCCAACGATGACTCCACATTGATTGAGTAGACTTATAAGGATGTAAAGCACAATCATACTTGAAACATCGACGACAAAATAACGTTCTGAATGAATGTAAAGCTTCAGCTCTTGTAGGAATTTGATGTCGACCACTTTTCACTGCATTCAGTACTTCAATCGGACTGTCTAAATTTGGACAACATGTCAACGCTTCTTCGTTCAGCTAAAATAAATAATATTGTTAAGTGATAAAGCTGGAAATTCAGTTAGGTGAAGAATTATGCTCTACAAGTACTTCATTTTAAGAACAGAAAATATAGATGTTGACGTCAATTAGTTGAGTGATCTATTAATCATATTATAACCGATTAATTAATCCTAGGAATGACAAGGTTGACAGATTGTAAAGTTCAGGTGTTTTAATCGCTGAACTACGGAAACCAATGAACAGCAATGATATTACAACTTGAACATAGGAAAATTGGTAGGCAGGGTAAGATTTGAACGAGTAACTCATTTTGTGAGCACTGAAAACAATGAGCAGCAGGTTTATGTTAATAATCATGATGATCCACTATGGTACTACATATCCATGACCAAAAGTAGTTTTAAAAAACAATTCTTGGTAAATATAATGAATAAACACGAAAAAGTAAATAATAACAACAATTTGATAAATATCACCTACTTGTGAATTACTTGAACGTTCTTTCAATTCCATATATCGAAGCTGAAGTTTACTAGAATCATCTGATGAACCGAATGTTCCAGCTATGGCCTATAATACAAGAAAGAAATTAAAGTAGAAGATATATGATAATGAGGGAATACAGAAGAGATTGATTCGACTTAAAAGAAAATAAATGACACATTTATTAGATACTATGGATGAATCATAGGAAAAAGTGGAACTTCTAAAGCTAATCTACGAGGAATTATGACGTATATTTGTTCACTGTGTATTTTTATGAAATAAGCAGCTTAGGATATTCGTACATCGTCTTGATTGTAAATACTCATTGATAAATTATCACTAACTAATTATGCGCCTATTATTTAGCTTCTACTACATATAACTTCATTCTGTGGATATTGGAGATTACTTATTGGTGGTATGTTGTGATTATGCAATTGATGTACAACATCCTGTGAGTTTTGGAGTCATGATGCTAGAGAATAATGCAGACTAATTATTCAAACCCATTCGAACGGCTGTTTATGTTTTGATTGGGCATAAAAAACAGAAGGGGCAGAGTAGATTAATGGGTATTGGGATATTCAGCCGTTATTGGTTATTTGCATTATTGATCAAAATCAAGATTATACGTCTGATTGAAGCAGAATAAACTAATCATTAATGGACTCAATAATTCAGTGATCCTATTAAATGAGGAATATAAAAGTTTAGAATGATAACAAGATTATCATCTGCTGTAAAAGACAAGTAACACAAGAACACCATTGAAATAACTGATGCATAGATCCACAATGAGTGATTTCTAATAAAAACAAAATTGTACATTAGATTGTTCTAAGTGAAATGTAGCTATTCAACTGGAAGGATAAAAGAAAAGTATTTAATTTATGTCATAGACAGAAAAATAATACTGAAAACTAGCAAAAAAAAACTTATTTATCTTCAGCTTACATCAATTACCTTGATTTAAATCATAGCTACTTCTAACAGACTATTTATATTGTTGCAAACAATAAGCGAACTTAAAATTATATAAAGAACAACTATATTACAACAAACAGTGGCCCCCAAATGCCCTAGTACGATCGAGAGTGGGGAGGGTCCGCTCTCCCTCTTCAAATGCTTTCACATGGCGACGCGTATATAGCCTCTGACAGGGAAGTCCTACTCGCTGACCTCTAGTAGCGGGGGTGTAGTTTACGAAATTTAGAGGACCAAAAGCGAATGTCCGGTGCTTTGACCGGGTTGGTGGACATGGAGAGTTCACCTAGGGGAGTTGGAAAACCCTGATTCCAAACCAATGGTGCACATGGGCTCCAGGATCCTGAAGGGACAAATGGCGTATGAACCAATCGTTGGTCACCGGCTACCATGGGACTGCATCTCCTTACGTTGCTCCACTGCCTTGTGGATCTGACCTTCAGGTCGAAGGCTCCGGGTGTGGCCCCTAAGAAAACCACCTGCTTCGGTTTGGGTACCCGGGCAGTATCACAGCCTTCACACAAACCAAATGAGATTTGTGTGCCACATATGTATTTGGTGCCTCCTTGTACGAATATCTATTTGTTAAAATAAAATAAATAAAGTGGCTAGAAAGAACTCATCATGAAGAATATCAATATCGGATTCGAAATAGAACTGCGGATATATAGACGACAGTAATTCCCAGATATCAGCTATGGACATATCCAGTATATTGCATCTCGACTTGATAGATGAAAAACACAAATGTAGTAAGAGTTTGAACTTCGAGTGGAATTTGTAATGAGAACTAAACACTTATAGGCAGAACTCATTCACTAAATGAACGGAGAAATGATCTAAGATGTGAGTACAAAACACTTAGTGAATAATGAAAACGTTGCAGTTAACTTTAGCCACCCTAATGGTATACGAAACAAACTGTCTAGAATCAGACTTCTTTTAAAGTTTAACTCACAGAGAATACTCCATCTGGAATCCCAGTGGTATTGAGACGCTTAGGGTCTGGAGAATTTGAATCACGATCACTATGATGTGAATCAACGGAATTTTTTATCTTCGGAGATTGTTGTGTGGTAGCGATCAGTTCACACTTGATTTCCTCATTATTGTCTTCAATTTTCAGCTTATTATGGAGACTAACCAGTGTTTTATCATTGAATTCGGGAAGATTAACGCTGATATTAGGTGGTATTATACTATTGCTTATTGTTACCTGGAAAAAGTAAAGTGTCATTTGATTATTCCATCCATAATCAAACTCGTCAAACTAAGTTCGCTTTTGATACTGAGAAATTTATTACAATTCAAGCATGTGACATAATCAAATAAGAACATAAACACGGCAAAAAGTGTACCAACACTAATATTAGTAATCTAAGAGACAAAAAAGGTATTAGCAGCAAGATACAACTTGAACGAAATCTAAACATGAACAAACCGCTTTACAAAAAACTGAAATAAAATCAAAGAACGAAAGATTGATAATAATACATGATTTGAGATTTACGCAAGAATACACAATGAACATAAACACGAGTCACTGAAACCGATTTCAGACTATATCATCCATAACATCTACAACTGAAGATTACGACTACCAAGTGTATAATGACCAGCAATTATGTGCGCATACTAACATGGATCAGATTATCACCAGGGTCAATAGGTATTCAATGTAAAAATGAAGGGTTAGTTGTACAACAACTATTTTATTTAAGAAATCAGTCAGCCAGCTACAGAGTAGGATCAGGCACATATATGCATCAGTCCAAGGTGCCACACCTAATTAGCACAACAAAATGAACATTAAATCCATAGTTGTTGCTTCAATAGTAGTAATATATAAAAGAAAGATTGCATATTAGAATATAACACAGAAAGAAAGAATTAGGTCGTAGAAAGAGAGGTATAAAGTAATTTTAATTTCACGGCTTAAAGTATAACAAATTGTACACACCTACACCATTGTGATCAATCCTGAGCCAGGTCATCAAGAGTCTCTGACGATTGGTTACGATAGTCGCGAGGACCCCAATCAAGCAGTCTGCATCTACCAACATGGCTCAGACCAGAAGTTAGTGACTTCAATGACTGATGCCACGTTTCAGTTTGCAACAATCGTTTATCCAGAATTAAATTCTTAAGACTGTAGCTGTGAAACAACTGTTGTTTTAAAGTGATTACTTATCAATTTATTTCCAATGGCAAAGTAAGATAAGAAATACACTGCAATTCTTAACACTAATCGTTCAGTGCTTGTATAAAAAAGACTAACATGTGTGACGAATGCATTGAAAATTTACACTCAGCTGTGCAACTCATTTTGGAAGTGAAAATTTTTGTATTCGGCTTTGAATCACATTGCTTGTGTATGAGGAGCTAGCAATAATATCCAATTGCCAAGATCAAAATAACTGGAGCAATTCTTGAGTATAAGGTCGACTGTAGTTGAAGGCTGATTGCTTTAATGGTTAAGCTACCGCTGGACATACAGATCAGTTCGTCTTCTGCGAAATTTACGGGAGCTATTGATAGTTTCATACAAGGGAAAGTAAACAATCGAACTTACTTCAACATCTTTAATTTCGATAAATCCTGAACGACGGGTGAAACGACCTTTTTTTGTAACTGAAACTTCGTCACTATCTTCTTCATCTGGTTTCGATCTTTTCAAGACACGTTCATTTGATTTACAATCAGAATCAACTACACCAGTTTCGTCAACAATACCAATTACTGATGATGATATTGATGATGCATCGATTTCTTGTGATGAGGAATCAACTGTAATTGGATTTTGTGGTAAATCTATGGGTCGGTGTTCACCTTTTTGATTTGTATATGGTATTAATCCACATTGTGCGATAATATCTGGCCATGCTTTTGCAACTGCATTAACCAATTGTACCAGAAGTGACTCTTCAAATTCAAATGGAAAATTACCATGTAAATGACCATCGTAATTGTTCAGAAGTTCTTCTAAAAAATTCACATCTTCCTGAGCTTGATCATCACCCATATATGGTAAATTAGCTAATTCTGTTTCATCTTCAACAGAGAAATTATGTTGAACAGGAGCCCACATACAAACGGAAGGCACAGGATCACCTATAAAAGTGGAAGAGTGGAAAGAGAATGACAATAAACACAGCAATTAAGTCAACATTTTTATGTATAGGTGAAAAACTGAAAAGAGAATTCGACACATACTGATCGTATTGAATTTACTCACTTGGGGCATCATTGTAATAGCAACACGATAAGATACACCACCGATTCGAGCCTCAAATTTGCCAAATTGACTATAGACATTAGGAATTTCTACCGGTTCAGCTAATAAAGGTGGATCGGCAGAATTGGAATTAGGCCACATTTCATCACAGGTGATAGATCGAGCTGCGAGATTAGCAGCATGAGCAGAATTCAGTTGCTCGCTTAACAAACGTCGGTTCTTCGACATCAATTCAAATACATGATTCCACTTGGATGCTAAATTAGCACACCGAATACGATTGTAGACCTCGCGGATCATTGTTTGTAAACGACGACGACGTTCACATGGATTGTAGTACGGTCTATTTGAACCAGTTGGTCTTCGTCTCAGTGATTTCACACGGGTTCTGCGAGACTCGCATGCAGGAACTATTTCATTTGGGCTGGATTTATTATTTTTACAATCACGATTTACATATGAAGATCGACGAACCATCTGTAAAGAAAACAAGTTTATCAACTGCCGTACATACGATTGACTTGATTTAAGGTACAGAAATATAAACATCTACACTCTGGCAAAAAAAGACGATAGAGAACTAACTGAAGAGAATACATAATGATAGGTTTCTTCACTTATTATATTTAACGTTTTCTGATCATCGAAATCCCCATTCCACTAGTTGATGAACTTTGATCAACAACGAAAACTAGTTTCAATGTGAAAACATTACAGCTTATATTCAGAAATACAACTCAACATTTACTCACATTTTTGGAAGCATAGTATCCTCAAAGTTCGACCAATACAATTTAGTAACACACATATTAGATGCAAAAACTGCAACGGTAGGAAAAAAGGGCTGAGATCCATGAATGAAAGCGTCTAAACCTCGTAAGCATAATTGACTATTAATATCCATCGATCATATCCCAAATACCAATCCTGTAATATCCACAACTGCAAGTTGTAAATGTAACTTTCGTTGAGTCCAAATGCAAACAGGAAGACCAACTTATAGCACTCAAACTCAAACTATTAGGTCTAATGTTTGATTTCAGCTTCACCTACTTAACACTGAACATACAGTAGTATCACTAGCCTCTTGTACCAATCAACTGGGCGATTTCATGCCACTTTCGACTTACATTAGAAAACAAAAAGTTCCTGACGAATAATGAAGTGTGACAAACTTCCATAATGAATATTCTCTTAACAATGGTAAAATGTAAGCGCATTCCAATAGATGGTAACAGTAAAATGTAAATTTAGGGTTTAAGCATGGAAAAAGACACTTTCTCAAACCAAATACATGTATTTTCCATTACAAATGATCGCTGTTTACATAGCTTCTCTCATTTGTGTGAAAGAAAATATTTAAAATGAAAGTTTATTTTTAATGAATATACAGTAATGAAGTCAGTAGTAAGTGGAGCTCAATCTGTTCCATTTTACTTAGTTCGTACGGCGTCGTTTGTTACGAATTTGTCTTCCATCCTAAAAAGGATTAACATAAATGTAATTAGCAATAAATCATGATAGATATTTGTCAAGAAAAGGTCTTCAAATGATTTGGTACTGCCAAAAGAGTATTGTCTGATCTCTTCTACCGAAATGCTTTCATCTAGACACACACATAACCAGTTCCAGAAAAATCTTACTACTCTCACGTGAAGATTTAACAAAAGTGGGGCAAGGGGGGACTTTCGACGTTTAATCCGAGTTGGTGGATATGTACAGTCTGGAAACCTTGGTCGCAATTCAATAATATATATGGATTGTAATGTCTCAAGGGAATCATTGGTCATCGGTTGCTACGGGATAGCATACATTAATGATGCTTTACAACTTTGAGGATTAAATGATTACATAAGGATTATGAGGGTGCCTAATATGTCTGGGAAATATTACAGCGCTCAGGTAATAAATGGTAGTCATGAGTGAAGATAATCGAACTATTATACTTCCAGTAAAAATAACTTGGTATTTATTCCTATCTCAAAGTTTACATTAAAGTCGAATTAAGAAATTAAATAACCAGATCTTAGCATTCATAAATTTCACTTTACACGTAAGTCATTGTCTCCAACCACCACATTAATGATCAAAATGCGAAAGTATTATTGTCTTCATGAATTACTAGCAGGTAAGTAAAATAGTGGTTATTATCAATGTATATTGACCACACCATCCTGAATGAATTTCAACTACGGCAGTTAATGTACCCATTTATATATACTTATCATTTTAGGTAATTCCGACTAAAATTACTACAATCTCCACAAACCCCATTCTGATGACAATCATCATGTGCTCACCAGTGATTGGCTTCAAGATAGATTTCCTGGAGTTCTAATGAAAAGCCGTGACCAGTAGAGTTCGATTCGTGTCGGGTATCTACCTGAGAGAATGAATGAACTGTTACGCAGCCGTTCATGGATCGATGGAATTCAGACATCAACACCGTTGGATGCCAGCTCAGTGGTTCAAAGGTTATGTGTTTGCGTGAGAACAAAGGTCCTGGGTTCGAATCCCGCATGCGGGACCATGGATGCGCACTGCTGAGGAGACCCATACCATAGCAAAACGGTCGTTCAGTGCTCCCAGGTTTTCAATGGTGGTTTAATATTGAACCATTTATGATCCTAATCAAAATTCTGACTAAAACAATTCACATGTTGTTTACATCTAAACTTTTTTCAGCCTCCTTTTTATTCCTCACAATAGTTAATATTAATAATTCAAGCGTGTAGCTTATAACTATTTCTTGGGTGAACACTCATGATCGATGTGACTTGGAATTGTACATGGATAGCCCAGACAGAAAAAGGAGATTATTATATTTAAAGTAATCATCATTATAAGCCAGTAATGAGTTAACGTTATCAGACTGGCTCTTTTAATAAAGATAATATTATCAAATTACTACCAATTTTTAAAATCGGTTTAGAAATGAAATGCTTACTTTTGAAACGGCGAAAATTGCATAAAACTTCCTAGTATTTAATTACTCATTGACTTACCTATCGAATTTCCAGATATTTCGCAAGGATGATGATATGACATATTCACCAAGTAAGGGTCTATGGACCCAGCGTTTTAGATTACACTGGTAATACTACTCGGCTGCCTAAACCAAAGGTGCGATTGTGACCCAATGACTAAGGTGTTCAACTTTCAGACAGTAGATCGCAGATTCAAAACTCGCTTTAGCTGCTTTGGTCTAAGTATCCAAGTAGTATTACTAGCACATAAAGTATGATTTAAAGCCCAATACGCAAATCAGTACCTGCTGAACTACAAAATATTCAAAGTAGATGAGGTGGGATTCAAACCTGTGATCTACTGGCTAAAAGTTGTACTTTGACTGTTAAGCCACAGTCAGTTAGTCAGCTACAACGTAGGACCAGGCACAAATGTGCATCGGTCCAAGTTGCCATACCGCATTAGCACAGCACGATGAACACCGGATTCATAGGAGTAGTTAAGTCAATGGTGGCAATATATAAAAGAAAGATTGCATATAAGGATACAGTACAGGAAGAAAAATTTAATACGTAGAAAGAAAGGTATAAAGTAATTTTAATTCCACGGTTTAAAGGAAGACGAAGAGTGTATACACCTACACCATTGTGATCGATTCTGAGACATGTCATCCACAGTCTCCAACCATTGGTTACGATAGTCACGCGGACCCCAACCAAGTAGTTTGCATCTACCAACATGGCTCAGACCAGACGCTAGTGTCTTCAGCCACCGATGCCACGTTTTGGTTTGACCGCCCCTAACTTTCTTCTAACCATCCCCAACACCGGTTAGCATCGAACGTCGTGGTAATCGGTGTTCAGGCATACGCAACACGTGACTGCCGCTTCTTATGACAGGAAGTGAGCAGCTTATTCCCGATGGACACTCTATAAACCATTCCCATAATGATAAGGCGATTGATGTGTAAAGGTTTTACAGAAAGTATCATTTTCTCGAGCATTTATTATAAGAGATTTAGCAAACAAAAATGGTCAAATCCTTCAACAAATATTGAAAACGAAACTATCCTCTCACTAACTATTAAGTCGACTTTTTTCTATTATGAGATTCAATAGTCATCCATATATAAAATATTATCATCGGTAAAATTTATTTACACTTTGTCAAAACTATGTGGATAAAATTTTATTTTGAAAAAAACAACAGTTTTCTTACAATAAGACTGGTAAAGTTTAGTTAAAAAGGAAGTCAATGACAGTTATGCGTATATGTCCCCAAATGCCCTGTTACGACCAACGGTGGGGAGATTTTATGCTCCCTCTCGAAATGCTCTCATATGTTCACACGTATATAGCCACTGCTAAGGTAATCCTACTCACTGCTTTCTCGTGGACGGTGTTGATTACGAGATGGAGAGGATGAAAAGTAGATATCTGGGGTTTGAACCGGATTGATGGGTACAGAGCATCTACCTAGGGGAGTCGAGAAACCCTGATTCCAAACCAAAGTTCAAGGATCCTGAGGGAACAAATGGTGTGAACATATTGTTGGTCACTAGCTATCATGGGACCGCATCTCCCAACGTCGCCCCACTGCTTTGTGAATTAGACCCATAGGTCAAATGTTCGGGGAGTGGTCTACAAAGAAAACCAGCTTCGGTTTGGATACACGGGCTGTATCTCAGCCCACACAAATTTAATAATCTGTGTTTAAATAACAAATAATAAAAGCGAATGAAATCAACTTACACTGCGTCCTCCACGTCGTTTCTGAGCTTTCTGTTGCTGAGCTGCCAGGATCACTTTCCACTGATTCTTCTCTTCGTCACCTTCCAAAACAAAAACAGTCTATTAAAAATTTTCCAGCATAGTGAAGTAAACTAGATAGCTTAGAAAACTAATTTGCTGTGCTACGAAATTATATTTGCCAGTTTATTTGGATTTACTGTACTATAACTTGTCTTTTTTAGTTGGTAAACAATAGCTATATGAAATTTTAATGTGCTCCGTTCGAGCTGATCACATCTTCAATATAGTCGTTATTATGAGTTTATGGGTCATTTTATTTACACAATCTCTAGCAAAAGATCATCTACGTAATATGTTAATCATTGAAATCCGCATATATTGTTTCTGATTTTTTAGTCTGACGAACATCTGTAGATTAATAACAAATCAAATGACGTGGAAAATGTATGTAAAATGATTTTATATGATGTAATATCTAGCAAATTTCGGGTGCTCATTAGTGGCAAGACAAACTCACTCCATTCCATAAGTTAACTACTTATGAGTGAAATATGCAGTTCACAGTATGAATAAAGGTATTAATTTGATGGACAATTACCAGTAATTACGCGACCTGATAATTCACTGTTTAAATACGTAACAGGACTATCGCCAAATGCTTCTTTTAATTTAGCCCATGCTTTTTCTGCTGTATCAGGTTGTTTGAATCGTATTACAGCTTTTCCCTCAGATGGTTCGATATCAATCCATCCCACAGGAGTACTTGAGTCAAGCTGTGAAAATATCCAAAAAGATAAATAAATATGAATTAAACAAAGCATAATAAACATTATCGCTTGTATATCCTAAGTCCCCTTCGAGAAAAAGTCCAAAGAACTTGACTTAATTTCGTAACGGCAGTCTTTTAAGCAAACAAAATAACGAATTTTTACCACATAACAAAATGTTCGCCATATTACCTTACCTTTCGTTTAACCACTGTTTTAAGTTCATAACTGTTGGTGCTTCTGAGTCTTTACTGTCATTCACTGACGACTCTTTTGATTTCTCAGTTGTGGCGTCTTCCCGTTCAACTGCATCATTTTCTAGAAAGTGAAGAGTTGTGAAGATAGAAAAAAACAGGAAACAGCAAATATCAACATTCTATTCAGAATGATAATTAGTTCCATTGAAATATTACAGAAAAACTAACAACCCAAATGACTTTTTTCCCTACCATAGAAGTGATATCAGTGGCCAACCAAGCCGAACACTTCCATTCATACTTGAAGTTTGTGCTGAGTAGGACTCTACAAAAAACAACTTTGTATGATAGGGCACCGAAAACCCATCGTAAAAGTAGAGTTACAACATTATGAAGAGATAAAAAGTGGGACAGTCATATCATTAATAGACAAATAAAAAAGAATAATTACTAAGACATGGATAAATTTTAAAAAATACAACCAAGATAGATTCTATCCTGTCAAAAAGTTCCATTCCATCACAGTCGGATTATCACTTTTTAATTATAAAGTAAATCTGCTTAAGTCATAAGCATAAAATTTGCATGATTACTAAGATCCCAAACAACGAAGTCGTGATGGAGAAGACACAAATCTTATGAAAATTCCTCTCATCCCACGACACTATCATATACTAACAACTATCAAGCTATTCCACACAGTCAAATAATACGCAATGTGGAGAATGCTTGGACTATATCTGTAACATATATTTAAATCACTGAAGCCCGTATTTCGAGGTACAAATTAAATCGACGCTAAGGTCACATATTTTTCAAGACCTCTGCACTCTCATGTAACCTATATATCAAGTACAGGTTTATGGATTCAGCATTGAAACCTCCAGTATTAGCTAATGATATCCAACTCCTCAAACCAAAGCAGACAAAAAGGTTCCCAAACGGGACGAAACGCACATTCCGGGTTTCAATACCACTATATATCCCTGCTTAGAAACGCTTTTAACTTAGTCGAAGTACCAAAGCAATCCGAACAGGAGGCATATATGCAAAAGAGACTGATGAATCGCAGTCCTAAACATCAGTGGGAAGATTCAAATGACCAACACATATAACCGACACACTATGTACTGAGTACACTATATAACAGTTAAGTATTTCCTAAGAGGTCGAGTGATGATTTGAGTTGTACTCAACTTATTTCGTCAACTAGCCGTTTGTGTGCACATTATGCAAGCTCGATTGCCTTTATATATAGTTTTTGTACACCAGTCGTATTCAGAGAGTTTTCAAACTTCTGAAATACTTATTCCTGTTTACCAAGTATATTAATTTTGACTAGTAACAACGATACCTTGATTCTGATATTTTTGCTACCAATCCTGACTAAATTCGCATCTACGTACAACGAATTCTCTAAGATGAGCCATAAGCATTAGATTGGACAACCAGGTACTAAGGAATTTACGAAAATTCGGTACTTTTCCGAAATGGTGGAAATATTTCTGCTTCTTTATCCCTCTCCAGGAACCTAGGATTCCAAAATCTGATCCGACACTGTCAGTTTTCTTGGTTTTTACAAACATTTAAGAGATACAATCGGTTATGCAGCATTTGATGATGAGTTATATTGTTTTGGTAAAGTTGGACAAACAGATATTTACTTTTTGTGGCTTCTGGGAGACCAACGATTTCAAGTAATGCTCCACGAATCATTCGAGAATTAACTTGAGCTTCCTGGTTAGCTTCAAGTGCAGCTTTCTTTTTGGCTTGTGAAGCAACTTTAGCCTTGTTTTCTTCTTCTTTGCGTTTCCAATAATCGATTCTAAAATTGAATTTTGAGTATTAACATACTACCAAAAGTATTTGATCGTATTTACTATCATAAAATGCAGTGCAACTTCAAGTTTTTAGGTTAGAAATTAATCGGTAAGTGAACTTATTTTGACTATACGAGCTAAATAAACTGAATGCATCGAGTTACTACAGATTAAGATATAGCATTACAATCACCCAAAATTTGCACTCATACTGAAGTTTGTAGGAAATAATTTCGGAGTTTATAATGGATTCTGAACATTGCATGGGTACCAACCATCAGTCTTCTGCATATTTCAACGAGAAACGAGTTCTCTACGCAGCTTGGATTACTAAGACAATGCAACTAATTTAATAAGTATAACCATGTATCACACTTTGAGCTACACTTTAAACGTAATAACTAGCGATACAATCCAGTTGTCTCAGCCGGATTATACAGATTGCTGACCAAATTACAGGTTACTTGGTCTGCTTACTTTTGATTTTATTATTCCACTATTCCATAGTTAATTGTATTTTCAACTAGTTTTATTGGATGTTAATTCATCAACTGTGAACTACACTACTTATGCGATACCAGATAAAATTCCACTTTCTTGATTACTCAATTGTGATTAACCCGTGGTTTAAGTTTTGCCAGGTGGCTACTGATGATAACAAATGATAGCACAATAAAGTATCATGAAACTGGATACTTAACATTTTTGTCTGCTTAGTTGAGGTTGGAAACAGCTTTGCGTTTTCAGTCACAGTTGTGTACGCTTCCTCGGAAACTGAGATTTGAACTGTCAAACAGTGTCACGGGATTCCAACCTATGGCATAGGTGTGAAAGAGACCACTAGAAACTTCATTAAATAGATTAAAGTGTTATGTGCAGATTCAAGACGTTAGTTTACGTTTTTATCCGTCGATAGAAAGTCGAATGGAAAAAGTCTGGGACCCGATCTTAAATAGAACATACTGTCTCTACTTTTTGACAGATATCGTAATTAAGTCTGCACAATTACCTATCGGTTAAGGTTGCTAGCGGTAAACATTGAGCATAATTAGTAAAATGGTTATGATTCATAAAGATGTGACAGGTACTGGTATTATATACACTCTTAATGCCATCAAATGTTTGCTACTTTGATACCAATCGGTAATTAATGCTCAGAGATACTGCTACCTGGACTGAAATTTAGATAGCTGAGACATGTAACATGACTATAAAACTACTACATATTGTATCTGGCAGGAAAATATAAGAAAGCTCTTTTACCTGATAGTGGACAGTCGTTTATGTATAAGTAATCGAACCAAACTACTTCACGTATTTCCAAATCATTTAAACTTACTGGGTTGAACGAACCATAGCTTTTTCTTTGAAAGTAGCAGCCTCTGGTGAAGCCAGGAACTTTTCAGAATCCTCCTTCTTCTCAAAAATAGCAAATATGCTTCCCTGTTACATGTATATTAAGACAGGAATTGAGAATACCCTAAACTTTTTGTCTCGTGGAAATCTGCGCATATGCACATCAAGGGTTTTGCCACCGTGTTTTTCAAGCCATTCAATAATTTCGTCCAATTTTTCGTCAGGAGAGAAGCCTTTAACATAGACACCATTTTCTTTATAGCTGTTAAGAGCTGTTTCAAATGTTTCAGGAACTTTCATTTCAGGATTTCTTCGAAGACCTTTTTCGCCTACTTCAATCAACCCGGACTGTGACTTGGATACTGACTTCTTTATGAACTCAACATCCTCTGACAAAGACTTTAGACGGTTAAATTTAATCATTGTCTCCATAGGAATCCCTGAAAACATGAAATTATGATTTTACTCAAATATAAATCTTACATCCGTCATTCTCTTTAACAGCCTCTTTCATGAACTTATCACGTGACAGATTTACATCTCCAAAGTAATACTGAAGAAACTCAAGAAGAAAGAATTGGCATGAGCTACCTCAACTTGTCTAATTATTCTGGACTCTAAAGGCGTGATTTCAACCATTTTCAAAAAAACCACACTGAACTAGAGGAGTAGAACAAACGTTCAAAATTGAAATTTCAGAGGTTGATATAATTTCAGATAAATAGTAAGCTAGACGTTCGGTCTTATGAATAGACAATTATGAGTCTACCACGTAAAATCTTATCGATTAGGCATCCACTTCATGACAAATCTACAATTTTTGGATTGGGTCTCTTATTATGATAGTATTAAGAGCGAAGTAGGCTATAATTCTACAAATGGACAGGTAGCCTACCTATACAAGGCTTTCTGAGTTGTTAGCCCTTGTCCTTCCATCTCCACTTCGCTTTCGTGCTTGGTCACGGCGTCATGTGATCTATCCAGCGTCTATTGGCACGAAATGTTTCGACAGCTGCAGCCGCCATATGGGGGGATGTTCAGGTTATCTTCATCAGCCGCTGTCTAGGATCCTCGTTCTTTCGATGGAGTTTTGTCCTCTGAGCACGACCAAACCATCCAGCTCAGAGAACAAAACTCCGTCAAAATCATCCACCTGAGCGCGCGATTTTCGAACGGGAAGTTTAGTCCTAACGTGATTTGCATATATCAAACTTTTGCTGTGTTCTTACGCAACAAAAGTACCATTTCAGTTCTAAAAAATCTATCCTGAGCTATACGTTCGGTAGATTACTTTTTTTTGAGTTTCACTATATTTAATAGTTACCTGTGGTTTTGCCTCAGCTTACTATTCGGTTTTTTTTGTTTTTCACGTATAGACTAGTTTCAGTTTATATCACTCGTTTTGTCCGTTTTTGTCCGTTTTCAGTGTGCATTTTAGTGTTTTTTTTAAAAGGTCTTAAGCTTTGCCAGCATCTATAACATAGTTTGCTTCAACACCGTCATGAAAAACTCATGCAAACGTCCGGGATGCCGTTTTGCTGTCACAACTGGCATGCAGTGTGACAACTGCAAAGGTTGGTTTCACGAAGCATGCACAAATCTGACAGCAACTGCTTACAACAAACTCAGCAAGTCAGACCAAAAGTGGGTATGTGTCACGTGCAACACGGACGCAGTAGTCTTGCTGAGTAACATCATTGTCCTACTGACAGGTCTTCGAAACAAGCTGTCAGTTAACTTGGAATACGACAGTAAAAAAACCGATATACAAACAAGAGCGCGCAACGGACTCAAAAATAGGGATGTCGATAGGTATGTCATCGATGGAGCATCCATCAACACTAACGACGACGTGTCGAGGCTCAGTACCATCATTACGTCGACGGTACTAGACTCCCTAGGCAAACTCGGGTCTCCCAGCTCAGGGTCGCTGAACACAACAGTGGTTCCCAAAAACCCTGCAGGCGATTCGACCCACGTTAAGAGAGCCCAAAAGAACCAGGCATCACCGCCTAAGCCGAGCAACCCAAGTGTTGCTGCACGGAAAATAACTGGTGATTTAGTCGCACAGTCTACCCCCAAGACTGTTCGTCCGGTCAATAAAGAGCCCAAGATTCATAAACGCACACTGACCTCCAAAAAACAAGTTATTAAACCTGAACCCATCGTGAAACCTGGTAAATTAACAACAGTTCGTGACGATTCTCTCATTATCATGAACCTCGTCGACAATCCTGACCTTCCTCTCAGTCTGCAGGATAAAAACGACAGGATGCTGTGGGGTGAATTGAACAAAAAGCTCGAACTTCCTAGAATAGAGCCTTTGACGGTCACCCGGCTCACTCGAGGAAAGGATTCTAAGCATCTAAATCACCCGAGGCTTCTCCGAGTAACACTTAAGAATGCTACCGACGTAGAGGACGTCTTGCTAGCAAGTCACTTACTGAAATCAGATGGTAACGTAAGAATATTGCCCGACATACCGTACTCTGAGCGCAATATCATACGAAACGTCCCTAAAGAATCTCGCGAGAAGTTCTTCCGCGGAAGAAACATAATTGTCCAAGGTATACCGGAAAATGCAGACCCTACTCAATCAAATTCTGACATCAGGGAATGGAAATTCATCAAACAGTCCTTGAGGCTCAAACACATACTGACTCAGCATGTGACGAGACTAGCCAAGAAGGACGGTGATCCTAGACCTCGTCTGATGAAGATAACCTTCCCATCTTCTCACATGGCGGCTGCAGTTCTGGAAGCATTTCGTGCCAACAGACGTCGATTGCCACCTGGAATCCACATGCACCCGGATAGGCCATACGAAGTCAGGACCAAGAACAAAGGCAAGTTGGAGCTGACCATTCCACTTGTGGACTGTCTAAACGATAAAAAAAACGTGTAAAGGACAGGGCCTACCACCTCGGCAAACCTCATATAGGTGGGCTACCTGTCCATTCACATAAGGTTCATACAGAAAAACAGGACGAAGCTCACGCGTTCCAAATTGAAAGCATAAACTGCTTATATACGAACGCCGCGAGTTTACCAAACAAACTGGATGAACTACGTGAACTTAGCGACGCTAATAAGGCCCATCTGATAGGAATATCTGAAACCTGGATATCTTCTCAGTTCTCGGATCAAGAGTTAGCATTGCCTGGGATGACTTTGTTCCGCAACGACAGAAAAATAGGAATTGGGGGCGGAGTAGCCATATACATAAGCTCTTGCTTGGAGGTGCACCAGGTTCACAACCTCGAGTTTAACAATCTTGAGGAATCCATATGGTGCTCTGTAAGGTTGTCTAGTACTTCCAGGTGTCTAGTCGGAGTCATTTACAGGAAGCCAACTGCCGACACCGAGTACGATAGTCGTATGCTGGAAGGACTATCCCGCTCTATCCGTCTCGGTTTCACACACATCCTGATTCTAGGGGACTTTAATCTCCCTAGAGTCAACTTCGCGGAACACACGTACACTGGAGGCGACAACTCAATTGAAGCTCGGTTCTTCAACCTCATCGATAACTTGGGCTTATATGAAAATGTGAGGTCGGCAACTCGTTGGAGAAACAGTCAGACACCATCGCGCTTAGACTGTGTATTCACTAACGAAGAATTCCTAGTCGACAACCTCTCAATCCTGGCTCCTCTGGGAAAAAGCGATCATGCCGTCATAGCCTTCAGTTTTGTCATCAAAACTAAGCTAAGGTATCCCAACAATAATTTGCGTTGGAATTTTAAACGGCTGAATGTGCCAGCTCTACATGACTATCTACAACAGGTGGCTTGGGATGTTCACCCTCAAATCGATGTGGATGGTCATTGGGACTTCTTGCTGCACACGCTCTTATGTGCTACAAACCATTCAGTTCCTCAAACGGTTCCCAAAAGCTTCAAGCCACCTACAGTAATCAAGAACCGTACCCTTCGCCTCCTAAGCCGCAAACGGCACTGTTGGGCGGAATACAAACGAACTAATAACGATGGAGCGTATAGGCAATACAAACATATCAGGAACACATGCACGAAGGCTATAAGAGAAGACAGGCTTCAGTACCAAACAAAGCTTATGGACAAATTCGCCTCTAACCCTAGAAGCCTATTCCGTTATGCAGCCTCTCTTCGTCAAGCCAAAACAGGAGTTTCTCAACTGCTAGGTCTTAACGGCCCGACCAACAACGATGGCGACGCCGCTAACCTTCTGGCGGCCCATTACTCTCAAACATTTCAACCGGCTGACATCAACTTTATTGACGACAGTTTCATCTGCAATTCCACAGGACTTTCTGAAGTGGACCTAAGCGCTGACTTGGTGTTCCGGAAATTGCAGCACTTAAGACTTGACACTTCTCCTGGCCCGGATATGGTTCATCCTGCCATACTGAGGGAGGCAGCCTCAATCCTGGCAACGCCGCTTAGCGTGATGTTTTCACACTCGCTTAGCCGAGGCAAATTACCGGAAAATTGGAAGTTGGCTCACATCACACCAATTTTCAAAGGTGGTCGACGCAATGAACCTTCAAGTTATCGGCCGGTGGCTCTTCTGTCATTACCTTCAAAACTCATGGAGTCCCTGATATGCGACGGTTTAAATGACTATCTACTGTCCTTAAATTTCTTCTCACCCCAACAGCATGGTTTCAGGAAGGGTTACTCTTGTATAACCAACCTGCTGACTGCGGTGGACAGATGGACAAGCATCCTCGATCGCAAGGGAAAGGTTGATGTCATTTACCTTGATTTCTCAAAAGCTTTTGATAAGGTTAACCACTTGTGTCTTATCAACAAGCTCAAACGACTAGGTATCAAACCACCTCTAATCGATTGGCTTACTTCATACCTAAAAAATCGACACTTTAAGGTTAGGGTTAATTTCACTTTATCTCAGGCTATGGAATGTCCTAGTGGGGTCCCCCAGGGCTCAGTACTAGGGCCTCTTCTCTTCTTGATTTACATAAATGATCTTCCTCAACAGGTAACGTCAGACTTATTACTTTTTGCCGACGACGTGAAACTTTGGAGAGAGATACGCAACCAAGACGATATACAGGCTCTTCAAGAGGATCTGACTCGACTTCAAAGTTGGGCAGACGATAACGGACTTACCTTTAACACTTCAAAGTGTAAAGTAGTCCATCTGCGACATGTCGCAAACTACAGTTACAACTTAGGAAACTCCTCTCTAGTAGTATCCCAAGTCGAAAAAGATTTAGGAGTCCTGGTGCCCCATGACTTAAAGTCTTACGCTAACTGTGACAAAAATGCCTTCCGAGCAAACCTTGCACTGGTAACGTTGAGGCGCATTTTTGGTCAGTTTGACGGAAGAACTTTCCACACAATCTTCAATAGTTTCATCCGTCCCCATTTAGAGTACGGAAACATAGTACTCCCCCCTCACTCCAAAAGGATAAGGTCACTTTGGAGCGTATCCAACGGCGAGCCACGAAATCAGTTCGAGGACTCAAATCTAAGCCTTACGAAGAACGCCTCCGTTCACTAGACCTTTACCCACTAGAATATAGGCGTCTTAGAGGTGATTTATTAATGGCTTATAGTATTCTTAACACTTCTGGACATCCTCTTAAACACCTACTTAAGCTTAGTTCGAACAATAACCTAAGGGGTAACACCCAGAAACTGGAAACACAACATAGCAAGACGGAATGTAGACACAACTTCTACTCCTTA